AAACAGAATAAAGGCATTAAATATATAAGCAGCAATTGTGATTTGATTGTACAAATTAGATTAGAAATTGATCCAGTTCTTGATCTTCACTGAAGCAAAAGTAAGAAAATGAAGATTTGTCCAAGTATAAATGTGTCTGGGAATAGACCATCTTAGAAGTAAGATATCACAGGAGCTGACTGAATAATGCAATGCAAATGCTTCAGCTGTCTCCTCAATGCATAAATTAAGATTAGATTAGTCTTTCACTCTGAAATATATTCCAGATGGGATTAACTAGTCATCCTAAAATTTTAAAGGCATTAAAACATAGGTAATAAAAACCAGAATAGGGCAAGTTAGTAATCTAATTATCCTCGAAGTGAAGCTTTTTGGAACCAGATAATATCAGGTTTTGAGTATTTTTTTTTAAGGGCATGCATTTTATTCTAATATTCTACAGTACGACATCAGTGGAGTCAACATGTTGTCCTGAAAATATATGCTTCCTGTCATCTGTTAGAAAGAATTTTCACTCATCTTTATCATAAACTCTTCATATCATACTGTTGGTGATATTTGCATTAAATTCTTAGGCTTCCTGCTTTACTGCCTTGAGCAACTCCAATGAAATTGGAACAGGTCTGGTTGTCCTTACTGTAGACAATCTAAAAGTGGATCAGTCCAAACAGACATTGTACATTCATATGTGGGTTTTTTCTGAAATAGAGGGAATTTGCCCTTAGAACAAAATGTGTTTGATAATTAGCATTCACATGCTGCAGTAATTGAAGAAGTTGCTGTGGCAGCTGGGTCTAATTGATAACATTCATTTATTGTTGAATGTTTACATCTTTGAAGTATTTTTACTTCCATTGTTGAAAAGGTTAAGACTAGAAAATTAACCCTGTATACTATTTTAAAACAAAATTAAGATTATGAATCTACCTATACAAATCTGAAAATTACAAGGTTATGGTTACCATGCTGACATTATGTGGTATCATTTCATATTGGATTACTGTTTCTATTGTTAAAAGTGTATTTCAGTGCTGCAGTGAGAGGTGGTAATTTTAAATTGCCAAGTTTTGACTGTAGTGATTTCCCTTCATTCTGAGATCACTGTGGCACACCATCAAGTTGTTGATCTTGTTAAAGCTTACCCCTCTAGGTGGAGTATACTCTTGTAACACTTTTCTTACCTGCTTAGCTGCTTTTACCATGTTCAAGTGACCCCTGTCTGTCTAGCTGGCAGGTTGGGTGGATTGTGCTCCTGCTATGTTGCTACAGGGCATCTACTCTTTAGCTTGCTCTCATGACTCATAGGGTTTTATCCTTTTTATCAATATTGTTACTGTCAGTATTGGAAGTGTACATCTATTGCAGCCCAGATCATACCACTGCCAAATTCGGGTTTAATATGTTCTCTTATTTGTAGTTGAGACTTTCTGCTTATACCTTCAGGGCTGCAGAATCAGTTTGGGAGTTCATGCCTAGCTCATTATGTTGTGGTTGTGAATTTTTTTGAGCCACTGCACAGAACAGGAAAACTGTCTACAGTATATGTGCACGGTCACCTACATTCCTGTTTACATATGTATGACTGCTTCTTGAAATATATTAAAACACACACTTTGTTTGAAACCTGTTTACCAGATAAATCAAATTGTCAGTGTATCTGTTGCCTTCTACCTTTACTACATTTCAGTCCCTGAGTATTCTGTACACTTTATGACAGCGTATCTTACTCCATATCCCTGGAAAAAAACATTAAATAGTACTAGGATAAAAGGTGATAGTGCTATAGGTTGTCTGAGATTAAATCAAGGGATCTGAATGAGGTCAGATGACTCATTTTAATTCAGGTTTTCTTGGGAAATAAATCATAAAGCTACCTTTCAAATAGCAAGTAAATTAAAAGTAACCATTGTCTCTTCTGACAGAGTAACCTGGTCTTAATAAGGATGGGAATCTAAAATCTAAGTTTAAAGAAAAGATTTAAAAATCTTTGTTGACATATGACTGTTCATAACATTCTTCATATCCTTTTATCATTCTCTAAGAAGTCTGCACCGCCAATTTCTGTCCTTTATAAGATAATTTTTTTGTTGGTTTTTCTTTATGAGGAGGTCTACAGTTTCTTTGGTTGCATTGGTCTTTTTACTTTCATTTTTAATGGAGCTATACCTTGATCCAAATGCAAATAAGCATAGTACAAGGTGTCTGAAATTAACAATTTAAAAAAATAATTCATGAACTGAAGGTATTTTAGTCTTTGTTGGTGCAAAATAATGGTACAACTACTAAGTCTACATATGCGTATCTTTGCATAGGTAGGTTATTTCTATAATAAGTTGTTAATGGTTTTCAATGTTTCCTTCCCTAATAAGGTACTTGGGAAATTCTCCAGATGGGATTTTCTGCTCAAAAGACAATAGATTAGACTTGGAACTTAGAATCATAGAATCATAGAATGTTTTGGGTTGGAAGGGATCCCTAGAGGTCATCTAGTCCAAACCCCCCTACAGTGAGCAGGGACACCGCTAACTAGATCAGGTTGCTCAGAGCCCCGTCCAACCTGGCCTTGAATGTTTCCAGGGATGGGGCCTCCACCACCTCTCTGGGCAACCTGTTCCAGTGTTTCACCACCCTCATTGTAAAGAATTTCTTCCTTATAACTAGTCTAAGCCTACCCTGCTTCAGTTTAAAACCATTACCTCTTGTCCTGTCACAACTGGCCCTACTAAAAAGATTTTCCCCATCTTTCTTGTAGGCCCCCTTTAAGTACTGAAAGGCCACAATCAGGTCTCCCCGCAGCCTTCTTTTCTCCAGGCTGAACAAGCCCAACTCTCTCAGTCTGTCCTCATAGGAGAGGTGCTCCAGCCCTTGGATCATTTTAGTAGCCCTCCTCTGGACCCGCTCCAACAGTTCCATGTCCTTCTTGTGCTGAGGGCTCCAGAGCTGGCCATTTATATTCCTCATAAATGATGGTTTTAATACCAGTCTGTAATTGTTTCATGGCTATTACTTATTCCATTGAATTTCATTACTCACTACATAAGCATGCATTTCATGCTTAGCAGAAACAGATATATTGGTTCCAACATTTTTTTATATACTCATTGCTTCCAATTCTGTTCAGAGTTTCTGGTTTTCAGCTTTTCTTTTAATTTTTGCTTGGTTGTCTTTAAAATGCTTGCTCAATTAACTTTTAATTAATTTTTGGCTTGTGAGAGGCTTTATGATCTGTTATAATGTTCCAGACTACATTGTATTGTTACTCAGGAATTATTTAAAAAAATAAAAGGGGATGTGTATATTTAAAAATTCCTCACTGTAGATCAAAATACATATTCTTCTTCTTTAAATTTACATTTCTTTTTTTTTTTATTGTTCACAAATTGAAAAGCTTGTTTTTATTGTTTACAAATTCAGAAAACCTGAGATGCATACTGAGGATGAGCCATGATCTTTAAATTCTTAAGTACTAGTTGTCATTTATTTATGATACACATTTTTTCAGTGGTTTATTCAAACCCAGCGGAAATCTAACAGAAAAGCAGATGCTCCCCTCTGTAAGCTTTAGATCAAATCTGGAATGTTAAGGTGAGAGGGAGCAGCTGATCAGTGTAAAGACTGATTCAGATCTAATATTTGTGTGTCATAGAATCATAGAATCATTTAGGTTGGAAAAGACCTTTAAGATCACCAAATCTAACCATTAACCTAATACTGCCATCCCACCTCTAAACCACGCCCCTAAGCACCTCGTCTGCCTGTCTTTTAAATGCATCCAGGGATGGGGACTCAACCACTTTCCTGGGCAGCCTGTTCCAATGAAACCTCTGTTCAATTAGTAGCTGTTTGGAACTTTTCTTCTTAGCTGATCCTCATCTTACTCAGCTGTAGTGGCTGATGATCTCTTCATCACTAGGATCAAAGACAGACCAGAGTACTCTTACTGAGACAGAATTTTTGTCTGATTAATTTTTTTCCCACATCAAGGGGAGTTTACATTGCTACATTTATCTTTCAGTAAAAGTGTAGCAAAGAACAGAAGGGTCATGCTACGGATCTTGCTTTGCAAGGGTTAAGCTGAGTGTTTGGAGACATGACTTGAATACAGAGATTAAGACACAATTATGAGAGATGTACAGGGCAAATAGGAATTGCATATCTATAGGTTTAAGACTGTTTCTCACCTTTCCCTCAGTGGTCTGTCTTTTCTCATTGTGGCAAAAACTATAGCAACTGCTAATGATGAACCACATGTGTAATGTTTGTCTTTGCCAAATGTGAAAGATCCCAAAGCAAGTGGCGACTTGATCCAGTCATGGATTTTACTGCCCCACTGCAGGGAACCATTTTAAGGCTAATGATTCTTGATGACAATGACTGCTGATTTATTGGGACTGGAATTGCATTTAATTGAGAGGCCACTGGACATTTAGTGGTTCTTTACTTCCTTGTACATCTTTGTTTCATGCTAGTTTCTATTTGTTTGCTCTTTTAAGAACATCACTGTGGCGCCCATTATAGCTCTTACATACACAAAAAAAATTATACAGTAGACTGGGAATTTACCTCTGCTCTCTAATTCAGAGGCATATGATTTCATTAGTAGTTTACATAGTTTTCTAATGGAAGAAATGGGAAACTGTAAATATGGAGAGCATATTTTATATATATAGTATGTATGTACTGTGAATTCTTTACCTTATGGAGCCACTGCAAATCAATATTTTACCCAGTTTGAATGTGTGAGTGTTGATCATCACATATTTATTATTAAAATTTCAAATAAATTTACATTTTTTTTCCCATCCTTTCTGAATTTTACTACATTCACTTATTTTGGGAAATGTAAAAGTAAAACATCAATCCTGTTTTGGTTTTGTTTATCATACGCAATGATTTTTGAAACTATTCCATGTTCCCGAGCAATGTATTAGGAAGTATTATATGTGGTTATGATTTTATATGCACTTTGAATAAATAATTTTTCCTTTTTTTTTCCCCAGGAATTCTGGAGGTTTTACACTGTGTGTTGGTGGAAAGCCCAGAAGCTCTAAATATTATTAAGGAAGGACATATTAAATCAATTATCTGTCTTTTGGACAAACATGGAAGAAACCATAAGGTAGGCAAAGAAGAGATAAGTACATTTGGGTCAACATTTGGGAGCAAAGCAAGCATGATGTTGTTCTGTGTGGAAGTTAGATTTAAAATACTTTAATACTGTATTCATAATTGGGAATGAAACTTTTCCTAAAAGGTATATGAGCAATTTGAATAAGCAAAGGGGAATGTTATCTTCTTTTTGATGAAAACATTGATACACAATAAAATCTCAAGGGGAGGAGGAGGAATATATCTTAATATCGTGTGGAGAATTTCAGAGTTGTAAAAAAAACCTACTGTGTTGGATGAATTACATACCCTTACATGTCTTCCAGTAACAAGGTATATAGCATTACGTTGCCTGAAGCAACTCACAGTGATTATGAACTCTTAGGCATGAAAAAATATTAAAGATGAAAAGAATCTATTTTTTTTTTCAGGTTTTGGATGTTTTATGTTCTCTCTGTGTTTGTCATGGAGTTGCTGTGCGGTCTAATCAACATCTAATCTGTGATAATCTCCTGCCAGGAAGAGATCTGCTCTTACAAACACGCCTTGTCAACCATGTGAGCAGGTAAAAAGAAAAAAAACCCCTATATTTATGAACAAAGCGTAATAAACTTGTGGTTAAAAGAAATAGTCACTACATAAAACCTGTTTTACTTCCAAAACTTTTGTTAAGATATTTCATTCTTACTAGGATTTTAAATGCCTTTTGCAATACTGATCAGAATCAAAACATGGGTTAGAGAGGTAAAGCTGCTCTAAACTGCTTTAAGTCTGTGAAACTGTAGAGCCTCTTCTAAAGATTCCTGTCTAGATCTAGCTGTGCTTTCAAAGTATCATCAGCCAGTGTCCCATGATTGCCTTTATGTTTGTGATCTTGTGAGGATTTCTTAGTCACCTTTGGTCTAAATCAAGACCTTAGTGCCAAACACCTTCACCAGTTCCTTAAACTAATGTTGGTTTTTGCCTGGGATATTTAGGGAGTGCCCTCACCCTTCCTTCCACTGGCAGAGTTTGTAGAAGCTACCTTCCAGCAGACATTAATAATAAGATGAAGCTAGTAATGTCTTAAACTATCAAATAATATTTACAAAGTAAATGTTTATCCAGAGTTTGAATTTATGCTGAGGCAGAAGAATCTGGCTTTAAGTGAATATTGGATATTCCTCTGTCTCAAACTTGTGTCTATTTTAAAAAGTCTCAATCATTAAGTGAGAATGGAAGTTGAAACACAGAATTAGTACTTACAATTCAGAGTTCACAGGATTTGTTAGATGCTGAAAACCGTAAGAATTACAACAACTCTTTTCAAGTAAAAGCAAATTCAAGTCTAAAGGTGAAATGAACTTGACAATTTTTATAGCGAAGACATTCACTCATATTTTTCATAACCACACATGTCTTGACTTGCCCCAACACATCCAATAACACATCAACATATATAAACATGGAAAGATGGTGTAATGGGAATCATTCCATGTCAGCAATACATTTGAGCAACTGATAAGCCAAAATCACTTATGAAAACTTCTGTTGTTAATGCATGAGAAGAAATTTTAAATGTATGGATACTTCTGAGCTGACTTTGGATCTCGTACAGGGAAGGTAGAGCTGTCTTTCCCAAATATGGCTATAGACAAAGGAAATGTAGTTAATACGTATTTTTGCTCTGCATTAGAAAGTTGTGAATGAGAATATTCATATTCTTGCAGTTATAAGGAAAAAAAGATTCTTTTTTCAGAAGTCAGAAAGACCAATGAAACATTGAAAACATATAGTGATAGACTGAGACTTGCATACCTTGCACCAAAAATAATTGGCAAAGGAACTTTCTAAGATATTGCTGTTTAACATACTTTTCCAGGAGACTGGAAAAATCTATTCACAAACCTGTATTTAAAAAGAGTAAGTTGGATGACTAGGTTGATTAAATTGTGGAGTCTGGACAAAGGCATACTAAAGTTGATACTGTGTTCAGGCAGAAAAGATTCAACTGGTGTTCTTACTAATACCTTACAAAATATTTGACTTTTCTGGAATATAGCTTTTGTCAAACAGGTTTTGTTTATATTTTTAACAAGATTAAATGTTTGACTTGCAATAAAGTGAAGAGTATCTATACTTGAACTTTTGGCAAAAGACACCCCATATCTTTCAAGAAGGAAAGTGTATTAGTCTTAGGTGATAAAACAAGTTATTTTATAAGCAATCAGATGAGTAAAGTCTGCTTTTACACTGACTTGTATTTAACAGCCCATGTCAATCCTTCTTCCTCCCCCTGCATTCCCTATACTAGAAGGCATATGGTGAGGTGGGGCTGGCTTAACATTTTGGTTAATTAGGCAGCTTGTATCATTTCTTTCTACAGAAAGAAAATATTTGTAGAAGTTATAACCCAATTCAGTGAAGGGATGTGAAAACTAGATACATTCAGCTTAGAAGTCTAGAAGATTTTTTGCAATATGGGTAACCAACCATTGAGAAAATGTACCTAGCATTGATTTTTGGATAATTCTGTACTCTACAGTTTTAATTCAAGATTGGATGGCTTTCTTAATACAAAGCTGACACAGTAATGATTGTCTGGAGGCAGATCTTTTGGGATGAGATTCTGGTTTCGCTATTATCCCAAAGATCAGATTAGAAAAGCATAGTTTTCTTTCCTTTTTTTCCCCCCTCATGACCTTGAGATGTATGACTCTACATATTGCTGTTTAACTAGATATTGAATAAGCACAGTAATAATTTTGCGTTTCAAGTATGCTTGTGAAGTACTTTAAAATCATTAGCAGCGAGAACATCACTTGATGTTAAGGATTAGTACAACCGCTGCAAATTACTGAGGTACGCAAAACTTGGAATAAGGAAGGAAGAGGTACAAGAGAATTTTGAAATAGATTGATACTTTAATTTTGTATCTTTGTAAATGTTATTCTCTTGAATGGATAGTCAGTTTTCTATGTAAAATTAAACCTGTAGTGTGTACTTGCTACGTTCCTATTGGTAACTGGTGAATAACTATCATTTTTGTAGGATTTAAAATCATTAAATGTTCAAACACATAAAATATTACTCTTGGTATCTGAGTGAGGATATGGTTTCAGTTACTGAAAGACTTTTTTACTTTAACTGTATAGAACGTCTTTTCACCAGAATAAATAAATATGTAAAATTACTTCTGTTGTTTTACTCACACAAAGCAATCACAAAATTTGAGTTTAATGAAAAGCCTGCAGTAGTTGATCATGTTCTTGAGATAAGTTTTTAATAACCACTTTTATTCTTTCTGTTTAAGCATGAGACCCAATATCTTCTTGGGGATTAGTGAAGGTTCTGCCCAGTACAGAAAATGGTACTATGAGCTTATGGTGGACCATCTAGAGCCCTTTGTGACCGCAGAATCAACTCATCTACGAGTGGGCTGGGCTTCAACTGAGGGCTACTCACCATATCCAGGGGGAGGAGCAGAATGGGGAGGAAATGGTGTTGGTGATGACTTGTATTCCTATGGCTTTGATGGTCTGCATCTGTGGTCAGGTATTCTCCTTTTTTTGTTTGTTTGGGTTTTGGTTGCTGCTGTTTGTTTTTTATTAAATAGAACACTGTTTGCTATTCCAGTGGATTTGTTTTCAACAGCAGCAAAGTGAAGCAGATGTTTCAGTTGACATTAGGAATATACAGAAACAGTACCCTATATCAGAATATGTTTTAAGTTAACGTTTCATATTGAAAAATTTCTTTTATACAAAGTAATGTAGATAGAATAATAATTTATGTTTCAGCTTGGGAATTATTTTTGGTTTTTTTCATAGTAACTATATAGATTTTATTTAAAACTTCAAAGGTGCAAAAAATGAAGTCTGACAAACAGTTGTCTGTATGTGTCATTTCTGTGTGATAGGGTAAGAACAACCTGAGAGATTTAATTCACAGGATTCTCTCTTTTTTTCTTTTCTTTTTTTTTTTTTTTTAAACAGATTTTTAATCTGGATCTTTAGTTTAGAAGTTTAGAAATACTCTAGAGGTGAAGAAGATTTTTAAGTATGCTTTTTGCCATTTTAAACCCAGATATTTTTATGTAGTGGTGTTTTATTTACATACATTGTGACTGACTATTTATTGAAAGGCTGGCAGAACCTTATTCCTAGCTTGCATGTGGTGTGTTTAGTCAGCTATTCATCTTTGCAATGTTGTTGGCCCAGCTTGGATCTATTAGTTAATAGTAATTTCTGTATGTGAATTCTAGCATTAAAGGAAAATGAACTGAGTATCTGAAGTACTTGTATTTACTGATGATTCTCCAAATAGCTTATTCTCAAACTGGGTTAGCTCAGAAAAATCAGAGTAATAAGAAGGAAAACTTGTTCTCTTTTTCTTAATCTTTTTCACATAGTTCAACTTTTATGAAAAGATTCTCAGATGTCATTTGTAATGGGTCATCCTACACACGGAAAAGTCCTAAACTTCTTGAAAAAAGTTTCTACTGTGGTTTCACCTTGTTGAGGAAAAAAATTTTCCTTTAATTTTGAGAGATTATTAGTCAGTGATGAACTGTCAAACTGACTGCAAGCTGGGTTAGTCTCTCTGGATTGACAATTCTTGCCACTATGAAGATATGAGCAAGTTTTCTAAAGCTCCTTAGCACACAAGAGAGGCATTTTAGTAAATCAGCTGTATGTATTGTTTTAGGTCTTTGAAGTTTTGAGGCATTGTGGCTTGGTGCTTGGAAAAGAATACAGTTTTACATTTCAAAAGACTTTTCCAATCAAAATAGCAATGGATTGTATTATTAAGTAATAACATATTGACTGGAGTGGCATCTTAGGAAAGTAGCTGCCACTTTGCATCTCATGTATAGTGAGAATTACTTTGGAACAATGATGCATAATTAATGGTGTCATTAAAGCTGTGTCATAACTGAGTTTTTCAGATAAAGTATTATTCCAGAAGAACTGGAAAATAGGGAGATAACTGAAATAACTTTTGTAGTTAGGGTTCCTTTTGGGGAGGAAACAAAAGATTACTGAAAATCAAAATTATTTTTCTACCCATTTTTAAAGAGAAATTTCACAAAAGAATAAAGGACAATTGTTTGCGGTTCTCAAGTCAATAATCCTGCTCAGTTAAAAAAGTCAGACCACCTTTGTATATGCAATTTTTCTATATGAATCTGTATTGTGGATGTGGCTGGTGGATTTGAAAAAATTTCCATCTTCATTGACATTCTCACGTAACACATACCTCCGAAACTTGAAAGGACTTTAAGTAGTTGAATGTTGAAAATCATGGCTTTTCTTCGCAGGCTTCATCTTGGTAAGTCTCTGCAATGACATTTTTAAAATAATCTTCTAAGTGTGAAGCATTTGCTACATTAATGAATAGCAACAATAACTTCTACCCCTGAGGTTCTGTTCCAGACCAAGCCTTAACCAAAATCATATTTAATTTACATTTGTTTCTTCAGCTCTGCAGTTAATTCTCTAATATGGAGAAGTGGAACTCATAGATTGTTAAAGCCTAAGGCCAGAAAAGGCACTTAGATCATTTGGTCTCACTATGTGTTCATCAAAGACCAGTATGTATTTCTGTTAAGTCAGTCCTGCGTTATCATTTAGTAGTTTTGGCTAAATTTTAACATCTAAAAAGGCATCTAGACTCATGTACTATGCTGTAAGGAGATGAAGTATCCACTTTTCATTGATAGCTCTGTTAGAGTTTAGCTATCCCTGCCATTAAATAATTGTCTCTTTCTGTGATTTATTTGAAACTAGCTCTCAGCTGTTGTGGTTTTTTTATCTGCTATTCTCTACTGTGCTCTCTGAGTTTTGGGATGTAGAGCTGGTAGAAGGTCGTTTCCTTGCAGGTAATTCCATACGTTGTGACTGCTACTTTTGTTTCTCAGCAGCGTTTCCTATAGATTTCTTCATTTGTGAGAGGCCCTTAGGGGACTGCTCCATGTTGTTCCCCTGTCTTTGCTCATGGAACTGACAGCAACTGAGCTAAGGACATCCTGTCTTGAAAGGGTGTAGGGGAGCAGCAAGAGCATCTGAAAACTTTTTCCCCCCCCCCACTATACTGCCAACTGTCCTATCAAAAGTGGCAAGTTGCACAAGGGCAACAGCAAGTCCTACAGTCTGCAGGTTATGTGGCAGTATCAGGAAGTAATTTTCCATATGTAGAGTGTTGGAAGTGTTGTTTTTTATTTTTACTTGCGGAGGGGGGAGGTTATCCTGGTTTTGGCTGGGATAGAGTTAATTTTCTTCCTAGTAGATGGCATAGTGCTGTGTTTTGGATTTAGTATAAGAATAATGTTGATAACACACTGATTCTTTTAGTTGTTGCTAAGCAGTGCTTACACCAGTCAAGGACTTTTCAACTTTCATGCTCTGCCAGGTACACCAGAAGCTGGGAGGGGGCACAGCCAGGATAGCTGACGCAAACTGGCCAAAGGGGTGTTCCACACCATATGATGTCATGCTCAGTATAGAAACTGGGGGGACCTGGCTGGGGGGGAGCAATTGCTGCTTGGGGACTGGTGGGGCGTTGATTAGTGGGTGGCGAGCAGTTGCATCACTTGGGTTTTTTTCCTCAGGTTTTGTTTCTCTCTCTCTCTCTCACACTCTCTTTTTTTCATTGCATATTATTATTATATTTCAATTATTAAACTGTTCTTATCTCAGCCCATGAGTTTTCTTATTTTTGCTCTCCCAATTCTCTCCCCCATCCCACTGGAGAAGGGGGAGTGAGCGGCTGGGTGGTGCTTCGTTGCCATCTGGGATTAAGCCATGCCAGGGCTAGTGGTGGTGTGTGTATGAAAATTTATCTGCAGAAGAATTATTGAGATTTTTCTTCTATTATTTTTGCTGCTGCTAAAAACATGTGCCATCTGTATCTTCCTAGAAATATAGTGCTTTTAATTAAGTCCTTCATGTTTACGGAAGCTGGACAGCGTAATTAAACAGTTAGTGCTCTGTTCTTAATATGCATTGTGGTTTATCTCTTGCAGACATTGCATATGTAATTTTTGGAGAACATGTCTAGAGATATTTTCATACAACTGTCATGCCTTTCCATAAATTTTCTGTTGTAGATGGCAGTAAATGTCAGAAACAGTATTCCTATTTCTGTGTTCTGTATATATAACCTATAGGTTATTTCTCTAGGGAAGCAGGTGTGCTTGTGTAAAGGTAGTTTGATGCAAGAGAGAATGATCCTTTAGAAGTCATACAAAACTTACTAAAGAAAAATACATGTATTACTGAATATATATGCCTCAAAATTGCTGCTGTCTTTGTATATGCCAGAAAAATGCTGGTTTGCGTTTTGATTATGAAACTGGGTAGTATCATTTTATACAGGTTTGCAAGGGTATCATGATGTGGCCCTTAATAACAGGAAATACCTTACTTTTCCTAAATAATGTAAAGTGCAATAATTGTCCTTGTCTTGAATAATGAAGTGTTCTTTAGTAAAGTATATTAGGTTTCATATTAGATACTAATGTTTGTTTTTCGGTTTGCACTTTTACTACTGTAAGAAACAATATTTTAAATTTTTAATATTTTAAATTATTTTTAAATAAAATTTTCTTGGTTCTGACTTTATATGGGTATCCATAATTATTTCCACTTACATTAAATGTAATTTAATTGTATTATTTATTATTAAAATAATAGCTTTGTAGATATGATTGTTTGCTTTTATTCACTGTATTACAAGCTTAAAACCACATCTTGGATGTTATAGTTTAGATATTTGTGTATTAATATTTGTGTGCTCTATTGCTATTTTTTTTTTTTCTTTTTTTAGGCTGCTTTGAAAACCTCTATGATTTTCAGAAGTTTTGCTAAATGTGTTTCCTTTACTTGCATAGGTTGTGTAGCACGAACAGTAAATTCTCCCAACCAACATCTATTAAGAACTGACGATGTTATTAGCTGCTGTTTGGACCTGAGTGCCCCAAGCATCTCTTTCCGGATAAATGGTCAGCCAGTTCAAGGAATGTTTGAGAATTTCAACATAGATGGCCTCTTCTTCCCAGTTGTCAGCTTCTCTGCAGGAATAAAGTTAGCATCCCATGTAGTTTGTTTGCTGGTGATTTTTTTTTTTTTCCCCCAGTCTGTTGTGGTTTTTTTTCTGAATATGAGAATATGCTGAATATTTCCCTGGCTGTCTTTGCTCTCGTTTCCCTTTCTGACATCTGCTTCTTTGGCACAGTTCCAGTTCTTGGATAGTGAGAGCTTCAAAGGAGTCCTGAAGAGATAGTGCATCTGTTGTTTTTCAGCATACTAGTGTATTCAGGTGGTCTGCAGATATACCTTAAAAACAGCTTCTATATTATTTCTTAGCTGACACATTGCTACACATTCACTCCAGGGCAGCATTTTAACCTACATGGGAAGAGAACCTTTAGTCTTTGATATTAAAAATATATTTGGCCTAACTCACTTGTTATGAGGTAGTAACTATTATTTGAAGATACATTATCTACACTTACCTTAAGAAATGGTGGTGGTGATACACTTTCTTTTCAGCAAGTTAATATTAATTCAGTCAATCTGTGTTCTGGTTGCTGTACTGGTTTTCTATCAAATTTCAAGTCACACTTGAAATGCCAGACTTCTGCTTCCACATATTGAATAGTTTAGGGCTATAATATCTAAAAAGGTCGTGTCATGTTCCAGTGTGGGGACCAACTTTAGCAGGACTGGCAAAGGTAAAGGCTGAAACCTGTTTTCTCAGCAATGCTCTGTGAGGGATCATTCGAAGACTGTGGTGAATGCTACAGAAGCTAAGAGCTATCACGCAGCCTCTCATTCTAGTTGCAAAATGCACTTCTTTAGACTTTGCCCTGGATAATATGGGAGATGCAGTGTGGTAAAACTATAGACATGGATGCTATGAAATGCAAAACTATAAACCTGCAAGCTTTATCTCCGTCATGAGAGAAATATTTGGCAGCCATTATTTGTGTGCTGAGTGTGGTTTTGGAGAGTGTTCTGATACAGCATTGACAAAAATCTTGTAAGATACTCAGTAAATAGAAAAGAGACAAAATGATTCTGCAGTAAGGCTAGTTTTCTGGGTGTTTTTTTATTCCTTCTGGTTGGCAATGTTCTGGGAAGATTTTTCAGTATTATGTCATTGCTACTTCATAGTCACCTGATTAATTGAATTTTCTAGTATCAAATTAGTATGACAGACTCACCATTTTGTAATGAATAAAAGAATGCTTTCCCCTAGGTTTCTACTACCATGACAAGTGTATGTTTTAGGGAAGAAAATGTGGGCATTTTTTGTATTCTGTCCTAAGGATTTAGTGTTCTGTGAGAGTAAGGAAAGAACTGTATTCCATGAAGTTTTCAGGCTCATTTCTCAAAGGAGGAGGGAATGGAGAACTCCTTAGTGGAGAGAGTTCAGAGGTGGCTGTTTGATTACTTTGGGTTGTAACCTCTGCCTTCTGAGACTTGAAAGGCTGCTGCTTACTTCATAGGTGTGCTAAGTAAGCTGATTATTCTCTCTCTCTGTGTCTTCTCTTTTGGTCTAATGGTTTAGAATACTTTTATGGAAGTTGAAATTAACTAAAAGAAAGAATTTTTTTACTTTTCCCCATGTTTTTTGCATCTCCTACTTCATAAATTCCAGTACTAGTTAGAGGAAGTTGAACTGTAAACGGTGCAAATAATTTTTTTCTTTCTTTTTTTTTTTTTTTTTTAAATAGCATTCAATAGTTACTAGGGTTACAAATTGATTAGGTTTGACACCAGAGGTGTCTCAGTTATCTAAAGTAACTCTGATGTTTACAGGGTACGTTTCTTGCTTGGAGGTCGCCATGGAGAGTTCAAGTTCCTTCCTCCACCTGGATATGCCCCTTGCTTTGAAGCTGTTCTACCGAAAGAGAAGTTGAAAGTGGAGCATAGCCGGGAGTACAAGCAGGATTGTAGCTATACAAGAGACCTACTGGGCCCCACTATGTCCCTGTCACAAGCAGCTTTCACTCCAGTTCCTGTAGATACTAGCCAGGTATGGAAACTGAAAGACTGCATTTTCATTTTTAAACACAGATATTACAGGCCTCTGTATTTCACGTTTGATTAAATTTGCAGATTTTCTCAAACTTGTTTTCTCTGGGATTTGATTGGTATACTGCTTTGCAAGAAGGTGAAAAATGGTGAGTAAAGTCCTGGTAGCGCTCTCTAGAAATTTCATATATTTCAGTTCACAAACACTATAATAAAGAATGTTTTACCCTTAACATTAGAGTAGGCAAAAAAGAATATTTGAATTTCTTGTTCTGTTACTAGACATTTTTATTACTGTTCAATTAAAATCACTAAAGACTTTATGTTATAATAAGACTTTTAGACCAGCTTCAACCCTAATTCTTTATTGGACTTGGAAGTTACTGAGTGGCATTTGACTTACTGTGGGGAGTAAATGGCAGGCATTGAAGTTATAGTTTTAATTTTTTTTTTTTACATAGTTGCAAAGAGCAGTAATTCTTTGATACCATAGAGGTCCATCTCTGACTGCAGGTAACACGAGTTCATTTTACACTTGACCAGCGTTTGAGAAGATACAAAATTTTGTACACTATGTGCTCAGATTTTATCGTATTTAGGAACTCATTCCTGAAAAAAACACATAAGGAACAAACCTGCTAGTTTGTTGCCATTATGCAGTAACTAAAGCATTCTACATGTGTCATGTAATTATTGTTCTGTAACATCAACAATTAAGGTATGATCATGATTTACAACATTGTCATGCTGGTTTTGCGTGGGGTAGAGTTAATTTTGCTCACAGTAGCTAGTATGGGGCTATGTTTTGGATGTATGGTGAAAACAGTGTTGATAACACAGGAAGGTTTCAGTTACTGCTGAGCAGGGCTTACACAGAGTCAAGGCCTTTTCTGCCTCTCACCCCACCCCACCAGAAAGCAGGCTTAGGGGTTCTTAAGAAGTTGGGAGGGGACACAGTTGGGACAGCTGACCCCAACTGCCCAAAGGGATATTCCATACCATATGATGTCATGCTCAGTATATAAAGCTGGGGGAAGAAGAAGGAAGGGGGCGAGGGGGAAGTTCGGAGTGATGGCGTTTGTCTTCCCAAGTAACTGTTACATGTGATGGAGCCCTGCTTTCCTGGAGATGGCTTAACACCTGCCTGATGATAGGAAGTAGTGGATTAATTCCTTGTTTTGCTTCGCTTGAGTGCACAGCTTTTGTTTTACCTATTAAACTGTCTTTATCTCAACCCATGAGGTTTCTCTTTTACTCTCCCGACTCTTTTCCCCATCCCACCGGGGGGGAGTGAGCAAGTGGCTGTGTGGTGCTTAGTTGCCAGCTGGGGTTAAACCATGACACCTATATATTTGAGGTCTCTGTTTTTTGAGGTAAAGCAGACATGATTTAAAGTTTTGGAGGTAGAGTGATGTGGTGTCCTGATTGCACTCATCACCCGTCATCACCATCTAATAATTTTGTTTCTTTTTTTTTTTCCCCTTCAGGGGTTCAGTTCCCAAATGTTTATATTTGTCTAAAGTGTTATTCATAACATCACCTTGGTTGATGAGATTTTTAGCATATTTTAAGCTGAGAAATAATATTGGTTTGAGTAGTTTCTAGCCAGCTTCCAGGAGTGTATTTCATGCCATTTGGAGGTGTTGAATTTTGTTTGCTGGTCAAACTCTGAAACTTGTAAGTGTATAGGTTAAAGTATTTATATTGATCTAAGAATTCTCACTCACTTTAGTCAGTAAGAACTGAGTGATAATTTAGGTTTAGTTGAGAGATCTGGTTTGTCCAAAGTTTGTCTATTATGAAAATTTGGGTGACACTGTCAAGCAACTTATTTGTAACAGCCTCTTTCTCTCTTCTCTCTTCAGATTGTTCTTCCTCCCCACCTGGAAAGGATTAGAGAAAAATTAGCAGAGAACATCCATGAACTATGGGTTATGAATAAGATTGAACTTGGCTGGCAGTATGGACCAGTATGTACCTTCCAACTTAATTTCCTGTTAATTATGTAGTATTATTCAGCACATTAGTTTCAATATGCTAATGGGACTGCATTTTTTCATCCTTCCAAAATTAGTAAGGTTTTAGACCTTTTCACCAGAAGCAGGTGGAAAACAACAGTGCTTGTGTATTTCTGAACCAAAATGCTGGTATTAAAGCTGTTTGGTGCTGAAATTTTTAGCCAGTCTAACTGCCAGCACAGAAAGCACATAATGGATTTTTCACCTTCTGTTTGTTCTTGGGGCAAGAAGTTTAGTTGCCTGGAGGAATAAGACAATAAAAGCAGTTATTCTTGGTTCTCTTCACCAGGTACTGACTGACATAACTCTTTCAAAAGACCCAAATTTATTTTTAATGAAAAATAAGTATTACTTATAGGAAATTCCATTACATCTGCTTTACTCCTTCCTTCACTCCTTCAGACTCACGTCTGTATTAGTTGTTCCACATAGCTATTTTCTTCAATCTTTCCAAATTTTCAGGGCTATGACAGAAAAAAAAAACAACGCAGCTTCTGGCTTTGATACAAAATGCAGTCTATTTTGTTGATTAGATTATTTTTTTTAAATCAATCATAAAAAATTATGCAAGATAGTTATTTGGATCCCAAGTGGTGGTGTTTATGAAAAACTGTTGCTGTAAAGAGTATATAGAAATGTGCAGTAGATACTAGATATAAATGTAAAAACATGTACTCATGCATAGAAACATGTATGTATTCTACTTGTGTTAATAAAAAGATTTTGGTCATTTGAGGAGTTCAGATTACAGATTTGATGTAACTGGGCATAGGTATTATATTTGGTGTAGCATACAGCAGGGCATAAAAAGATTTGATTAACAGAGAAGATCTCTAGATTTTTTCTTTTGTTGTTGTTGCTTTCCCAACCAAATAAAACACAAAATCCCAGTTAAATTAATGTGTTGAAACATATTAATTGAGGTGTAATCATACCAGCTGTGAAGCAACCTGCAGGAACTTTTAGTGTACCATTACTTACCATTGAAAATGTAATTGTACAGTTGAATGCTATTTTAATTTAAACAATATATAGTAAGTATCAGGTTAAGCAGCAATAAATGTGTAGCTATATTCAGAATGAAACCAGGTGCTAAACCTTTTAAGTTATTCAGCTTTCTCTCTCTAGCTTCAGTGTTCTATGCTTGGATGTGCTTACTTCAGGAATGTGGCAAAGTATATGCTGATCATCTTCTGGGGATTGACTCCTTTATCATATTGGTTTCTCACAGATGATTTAATCAGTTTAAGCTAACATTGCCAATTCTAGTTATCTGAATTCATGCACTGCAGGTAGTAAATACTGAGGGAAGGCATGAAGCAGAAATTAGCTGGCTTAGATGCACACATGAGTGCTCTAATCTTAGAGTTGGTCTTTTTAATTCAGAGCAAGATGCATTATATACATAGTAGCTAGCTTTTCTGAAAAAGTGGTGTTTTTTCACCAAGTCAAAAAGTTGAAAGGCAAAAAGACAGAGAATGTGTAGATTTAAATGTCTTTGCAGACACTTCTAAAAATCTGCTGTAGATTGCATTTTATATTCCCTCCTACATACCTGTTTAATCAGATCTGTGTGTAATATCAACAAAGTGATACTCAGTATTGCATGCAATATTACTAATGCATTTTATACATGTAACAAAGTAAAATAGCAAGCTAATGTAGCAAAATTAGGGAATTTTGTTAACTGGCTTCGTTATAAGTCTGAATACCAGTGGTATTTAGATGTCCAGCTTGAAATCATCAGATACATCTGCATGTCTTTGTTTCTGTTAAACTTCACAATACATTTTAAACTGGCCAAAAAAATAAGAATTAATAGGTGTCACGAGTTCGGCCACTTTTATATAAGGTATTTGCAAGGCAGTAGATTTTTTATACTTTGCTCAGAAAAAAAAAAAGGGGGTGGGGTGGGAAGACAACCTACAAAATATTTTGAAAATATAACATAAGTATGAAACATTGTAGCTGTAGAGTGAAAAGTGTCAAAAGACGAAATGTAATTAATGTTGGATTTCTGAGGAAAACACTTGATGTCCAAGATTTAAACTAGCTGTACACAGATCTAAAGTAGTCCTTATTATTGGAGACTATACTGAAACTTTATTAATGCAGATTACCATATGTTTTAGAAAGAAATCTGCAAATAAACATTTTCAGTGTGTCTGCCATCTTATATTCACTAAATGAGTAAAGATCAATTTGGAAAATGTATAACAGTTAGCTTTAACTTCAACTGTTAATACTCCATTTTCCAGCAGAATTATCTGATTGATCAAAAGCTGTCAATAATGTTATTTTTAAATAACTTTCACTTTGCAGCTTTAAAGATAAATATAAATGGTGAGCTTATGGTCCATTATGGTCTTTCGATGGACACAAAAGTGTTTTAATGTATGGGTAAAGATGTAGTCTCAACTGAGCAAATGTTAACATTTTCATTGGGATCTTATAGTTCATATTTGCAAATATTTGCAAACTAATGTTTTTTTATCAAGCATTCTAGCAAGACATAATCTTTGTAGATTTTGCTGACTGAGCTCTAGGACAATGAAGATGCAAAGCTGAGAGCAGTAGAATGCTCAGTTATCCCACCTCTCAGGTTTCCCTTTATAAAATGTAGGATTTTGTAGACTATAATCTTCATTTCTCTTCTGTCACTACATTAAAAGTAAATTAATGTTCCAATCATTTGTGACTGCTGAACAGTTGCATTCTGCTTGTATACTAGTGGACACAATTAAGAAACAAACATTTTCTTAATTAAGACTTAAGGTAGATTTATCCTTTATAGAGTTACTTTTGTAGGGTAAGGACTTCAGTACCATTCATGTCAACATATTTAGACAAACTGGATGCATAATTTTTCAAACACGATGCTGAAGATGAGTTGTTATTTTGTTGGCTGTATGTCAAAACATAACATAAATTGCACTATTCTTGAACTTTGCATATTTGTTGTGAACATCTGTATAATGAAATGTACAAATTGGCATCTATTCCACTTGAGATCTGCAGATCTGAAGTTTATTTGCAAATGCAAATTCTGCCTTACTTGAACAGAATGATCTTGCTCTGAGAATACAGAATACTTTCTGTTTTGAAGTTTGAGTACTTCTGACAGGATCAGCTTGAAGAACTTTGTGGTTTGGACAGTGTTGTAATTTCTTCTGGTTTTTAACACACATTAAACTTATTTCTTTACTGTCTTTTCAGATTAGAGATGACAACAAAAGACAACACCCATGCTTAGTGGAGTTCTCAAAATTGCCAGAGCAGGAAAGAAATTATAACTTGCAAATGTCACTTGAAACACTGAAGTAAGTTGCTAGAACTTTTGAAGCTTATAGTGAGAGTTTCCTAAGAAGTTGCAGTTTCAAGAATTATAATTTGATATGTGAATTACAATTTGACATGTAGTTGAGGGTAATAATATGAAAATGAGGGAGATACATTAATGAATTATGTATTTGGCACTGAAAATGGCTTTTATAGTCTTCTTTTTAGTATCTATGGAATTTTAGAATTACTGTGGTAACTCTGATTATGAAATGGCAACTCAAGCAGTTTTCATCTAGTTTGGAGGAAAGAAACAGAGCCAAGCTTTGAAAAAAACCTCTTTGCTTCTTATTTGGTATAATTAAATTTAGTTTAATTGCTTTTCATTTTCTTTATCAATAAAGCGCACTTCATCAATCAATAGTTATTTTTTGGATGTGGCTAATGATGAGCTTTGTTTCAGGACTGCTTGTTGCTATTTCTGCATTGTCTGTGCATTTTGCCACAAAACGGTAGTAGGCATTCCCTCCTTTTGTGGATGAGTGGTTAGATGTATGGATGTGATGGAAGCTCTCTGGTTGGAATGCTAGAAAATTTTAGTGGGATGTTAATGGTTTTGTTCAAGTAATCTAGTTATCTGTCTTACAAAGGTACATTTCCTCATGTCAGCTTTGTCAGTCAAGCAGGTGTGAGTTCTTACTTTGCTATGAATGCATGGACAATCTATTAATCTAAGTAATTTCCTCCATATGTAGCATTGCATGTAGCCAACATGTTAAAATATTTCTCAAACTGATAAAAGCCCTGTGGTATATGTGGTTCTCCAGTCATTCCTATTTGCAATCCATTGAAATCTATTCTTTTTTTTTTTTCTTGTTAAAATACAGTTGCTTTTTCCTGTTCAGAGCATTAACAAAGGATGATTATCTGCATGCAACACTACTTTTCTCGGAATACTTGTATTATATTATTAAAAAATTTGCCAGGTAAACTGATAGTGCAATGTACTGTTTACACTCATAATATAAGGACTTTATGTCCTTGTAGGAGAAAGCTAGGTAGAATACTCCTCCTAGAATTTCTCATAGTGTCCTTCTCTGGTGAACTTCCCTGCACTATCCTGCACTGATCCACCATTCCCACAGTAAGTAAATTGTTTGAAGAAAAACATTATTTATGACTATAAGTGTTAAACAGTTTCTGGAGGGATATTTTGGCATTATTTAGAGATAAAGCATTCAGAGATAATGGAACTCCACTGGAGGCAAGAAAATAAGTTCATATTTGTCTTCAGCTAGATATTAGAATTTCAAGGAAAGCTTTTGAGACCCCTGTCAACACAACAATGTGCTAAGTATACAGAATAGCTTCTTCCTTTCCATTTTAGAAAACCACAAAAGATGATGTCATTAACTTTC